TTTTGATTTTAAAAACCGCTACTCGCGACTTCGTCTGCGTTAACTTTAATTTTTGGACAATCCCACAGGAACTTTAAAAAAACCGGGATTAAAAGTATTCTAGTCAGTGCGCCAGAGATGGTTTCTGTGCCAACCAATAACCAACCAATTGTTACAATAGATCTTACTTGTAATGACAGTAGAAATAATAAATTGGGGGTTGTTGGATGTAACAAATTAAAGAAATATGTAAAAATTAATAGATATATTAAAAAAACTCAAAAGTTAATTAAAAAACAAAAGTTATTTATAAAAAATGTTAATATCAACAGGGAGAGATTACAGTTAATTGATGAATTGGACATTTATTCTGCAAAATATAATAACATTAGTTTAAAATATGAAACAGACACTCAAATTTTACAAAGTAAAATAGATAAACTACAAGATTGTCTCTCAAATGTAACCAAAAAATATGAATTAGCACAATGTGAAATGAAGGAACACATGCAGGCCATGAATGAGTTAATTGATTTATGCAATTACAATAATGAAAGATTTCATTCATTAACAAACAATCACACTTGTGATTGTAAACAGTTGGGAACTCAATCATCGCTCAATTTTGACTCCTACACTTTACAACATAAGTCTATATCTATTGATTCCCAACTTCAGCCAATATGTACACACTTGACACCGGTGAAAGTAACTCACTCAAGAAACACATCTTTAGAAAATAAAAATAACAAGATTATAATGTTTAGTGATGAAATTGGAAAGAATATGGGCCCTCTTTTATCTAAAATGGGACATTCAATAACATATAACTGTATGCCTGGTACCTCTTATAAAGATATTTTAGAAAAGGCAAGTAAGCATAGCTACAGCAAATGTCACACCTTGTTATTTTTTGTAGGAAACAGAGGCAATTTGAACAAAAAAATATTATTAAAATATATAACAGATTTAAATACATTAAATGTGGAAAAAATTGTATTGTTCACATTGCCTTACTGCAACAGTCTGCCAAAAGAGGAAAATTTGTTAAGATATAAATTAAATATGCTTTTGTACACAACTTGTAAAAGCAAAAATACCATTTGATTGACTCTAACAATTTTGTTAGAAATTTTTATTTGACAAAAGATAAATATTATCTTTCTAATTATAATAAAAGACAGGTAGCTAAGTCGCTATCATATTTCTTTTTTATGTCAGCCAAGAATTTGGCTAAACAACTTGCTCCTATTGAGCAACCTTCTAATGACATGACAATCAGTAATTATTCTACTGAAACCACTCAAAATAATAATAAATGTTTAAATTAAGCAATCAGACAAAAGATAATTCGTCTTGCATATTGTTAAATAATAATGTAAATAAAAATTACAATTTTGTTAATATAGATAAAAAAAACCCATCCAAAAACATTGCAAAAAATGTAAGTTTTATCAACCTGGTGCATCTTAATATTCAAGGAATGATGGGTAAGGACTTAGAAATTGAATTATTTATGAATTGTAATAATATAGATATTTTTTGTATTACAGAGCACTGGCTAAAAAGTTATCAAAATATATTTAATTTTAATAATCATCAGGTTGGTAGTTCGTTCAATCGAGAAAATGCAATTCGAGGTGGCTCTTTAATATTATTGAATAAAAAACTAAAATTTAAGGAACGAAGAGATATTGTGAGCCTCTCGGTTGAGCGAACAATAGAAATTGCCTGTGTGGAACTGGACCAGCTTGTTGTATTGAGCGTATACAGACCTCCATCAGCATTGTATGATTGTTTTGAAGTTATCATGGATGAAGCTCTTAAAAAAACATACACTACAGGCAAACGGTTGATTGTCTGTGGTGACTTTAATATTGATTTATTAGAAAAATCTAGTTCATGTACTAAAATAAAAAATTTATTTCAATCATACAATCTGAAAAACTTATTCATTGAGCCTACTAGAATAGCTGCCACTTCGGCCACTTGTATTGATAATATATATACAGATATTATACCACAGAAAAAACAAATTATTAATAAACTAGATAGTGATCATTGTGGCCAGTTGATTACATTTCCGTATCAGCTCAAGCAGGTGACGAAAAAACACATCACTGTTATACCAAAAACTGCTAATCGTGTGGAACGTTTTAAAAATCAATTAGATAGAAAATTGTGTTATCTTAAATATAAAGACAGTCCAAATAATTTATATAAGTAATGATTTTTTTAATATATATTGCGATGAATTTAATAATGTTTTTGTACCCAAAAAAATATGTGTTAATGATGCGGTAAATTTTAGTAAGTGGGTTACGCCTGGAATTCATAAAAGTAGAAGAACACTTTATGAACTTTATAATGAACGAAACTCTAACACTAGTGAAAAATTTAAAGAGCATGTTCGTAACTATTCCAAATTGTTTAAAAAAGTATGCTGCTTAGCAAAATCAAATTACTTAAGTTCAAAGATTAAGAACAGTAATGACAAAATCAAAATGACATGGAATATTATAAACAATGAAACTGGAAAATCCAAAACTCGCGAAAATAATTATAACCTAAATATTGATAATAAAAAGGTTACATCAGATATTGAAGTTGCTAAAGTGTTTGAAAATTTCTTTACTGATATTCCAGTTTCAACTACGAAATCTTTGAACTCTTCCCCCATTGCTGCCGAATCAATCTTAAGAGAAAACGTGAAACCTTGTACTAGTTATTTTCATTTTAAACATGTTGACTTTAAAGATGTAATAAAAACGTTTCACCAATTAAATAAAAAGAAAACCGCGGATCTGTGGGGCAATTCCGTTGATGTTTCTAAATCGGTAATTGAGACAATAGCTCCTATTCTAGCTTGCATATTTAATGATTGTGTTGACTGTGGTGTTTTTCCTGACCTCATGAAATACAGTAAAATTACTCCTTTGCATAAATCGGGAAGTACATCAGACCCCACAAACTTTAGACCAATTTCTGTGCTACCCACCTTTAGTAAAATTTTTGAAAAAATCATGTTAGATCAAATGCAATCACATTTTAATAAATATAATATACTTCACTGTAAACAATTTGGTTTTACACGGGGTCGTTCAACAACCGATGCCGGTGTTGAACTTATACAACAAATTTTTGACGCCTGGGAGAACTCGCAGGACGCTCTAGGTGTGTTTTGCGACTTGTCCAAGGCTTTTGATTGCGTTTTTCATGAAACATTACTCAGGAAACTCCACCACTATGGATTTAGAAATACTGATCTGGATCTTATTGCATCATACCTGAGGGATAGGATTCAGAGGGTTGACATTAATGGTAATAAGTCTCCGGGTTCGCCGGTTAAGATGGGTGTTCCGCAGGGCTCAATCCTAGGTCCTTTCTTATTTTTAATTTATATTAATGACTTACCTTACTATGTAAGAGATAACCATGAGATAGTATTGTTTGCGGATGATACATCACTTTTATTTAAACTCAAACGCAATGAAAAAGTTATTGACGACGTGAACAATTGTATCTCTAAGGTAGTCCACTGGTTCAATGTTAACAATTTATTACTTAATGAAGGAAAAACGAAATGTATGAAATTTGTATTACCTAATGTAAAACAGGTAAAAACCAGTGTGAATGTAAAGGATAGGAATGTGGGCCTTGTAGACACCACAGTATTCTTAGGGATAACTTTAGATTCTAAGCTTCAATGGGGCCCACATATTGATAAATTGTCAAATAGACTTAGCTCTGCAGCATATGCCGTAATGAAGATACGCCAGTTAACGGATGTAGATACGGCCAGATTAGTGTACTTTAGTTATTTCCATAGTGTAATGTCGTACGGAATTTTATTGTGGGGAAATGCCGCCGACATTCAAACTATTTTTGTGCTGCAGAAGAGAGCTATTCGATCAATTTATAATCTTAAAGTTAAAGAATCATTAAGAGATAAGTTTAAAGAATTTGGAATAATGACGGTCGCATCACAATACATATACGAAAATTTATTACTTGTAAGAAAAAATATTAATTTGTTTCTTAAAAACAGTGATGTTCACACAATTAATACAAGAAACAAAAATAAACTAACTTTACCTGCTACTAGGCTTCACAAAATTAATAATTCATTTAAAGGTCTTTGTGTTCGCTTATACAATAAAGTCCCAAGCAATATCCAAGAGTTAGCCATAAATAAATTTAAAGATATTATAAAAAAAACACTTATTAAAAAAGCTTATTACAAAGTGTCTGATTATATTACAGACAAAAATGCTTGGGTTTGAACTGTTCCAATCATTCCAACAGGTTTTCTATATTAAATAAATCATAATTGTATTGACGTTGTAACAACATAATGATTTGTAAATGTTGTTACATTAGACTTTTAATGTTGTGGAGTTTTTTTCGCTCGTTTTTCTCCGCAGCTAAAAAATATGTCCATAACGAGTGGTAGGGAAAAAAAATTTTTTGGACGATTCAAAAGAGTTGTACTATACATCCAATTTGAATAAAGATATATTGATTTCTGATTTCTAGTTATGTCTCAATCCAAGTCATAAACTATACACTTACCCCCTTATTAATAAACAAGGAATAAGCTTACATTAGTTACGCCGTGTTTTGTTCATGTCACTCTAATGCCATTTGTCATTCAATGAACAAAGACAAAACATGGAGTAACTATTCCAAGCTTATTCTTCGTTTTTTAATAAGGGGGTTAAAAAATACCCACCAAAGGGTTTTGTACGCCATATACTAATGGTTGGAACATAAAATTAATATAAGTACTATGGGTCGGAATCGACTATGTTATTGATTTCCTTTCTTTGTATATTCTTAACAAGACCTAGCCCAATTCTCTTACAAATATGAAACGTTCCCAATCCCATTGAAAGAAAATATTCATAAAATGAAACAGAAGGCTGAAAGTCGTTTCTTGTGTGGATCCTTTACTAAACATAATAAAAATATTAAATGTAGGCTGTATGGAATTTGGATTTTTAGATTTCTCATAATGGAAGAATCATAAAAACAAGTAATGTCACAGTCAGCATTTGTCATGTCACGTGTACAATGACTATTTAGATAATGGAAACAACTTGACATTTAAAGCACCTTTATTACCAATACATAGGATTTATAATAGTAGCACAATTGTATACACGTACTTGCTGCGCCATTATTCTGATGTGTATTCTGTGACTAAAATATTGTTTAATTTTATCCTACTTTTTCTAGGAAGGAAAGATCAAGTTGTGATAATATTTAATAGTAAACTGTTCATTTAAAACCGTTCTTAAGTTGTCAAAGAAGTATACGATTATGTTCAAATCATACTTTATTAAAATAAGCATCGTATTGTTTTTCTCACTTGTTAACGCCTCAGATGAAGCCAGTGATAAAATTGAAGCAGTAGACTGTAATACCTTACGGTTAGGACAATACATATGCCCAGATCCAAGCATAAATCCAATTGATCCCGAAACACAGCAGTATCGAGGATGCATGAAAGGAGAAGTCATTCCATCTGAAGGAGAGGCTGAAGGTATTATTAATATATGATAATAGCTGATAAACTATTGTAAGGACTACACATGAGTATAAGTTTTTACGCCTGATCCTTTATATTTTTATTCTAGTGCAATGCATTGCTGCCGATGGTATAATATGCAAGGAATCAAACAGCTCCATCTTCAAAAAGAAACTTCCTTGCAAATGGACGTAAGTATAACAAATAACGTTGTTTTTATTCCCTCAGCTCATATTCCAATTTATGAAATTAATAAAATAAGTAAGTAAGTACTTCAAATGCAAGATAATACAAACATCAACTACTTAAGTTATCTCCTTTTAAACATTTTATTTAACATATGCAGAATAAAGATCTTTTCAATTGTATGTTTAAGTAGAATGCTGGATAAATACAATAATGTCTATAAATTTCACTACCTGATGACTGCAATAATTATATTTATTGTCCACAGTAATGGTTACTCCCTGGAAATTGCATTGCTATTGTCTGTATTTTTGGGGATGTTTGGATTGGACAGGTTTTACCTTGGTTACCCTGGTGTTGGTCTAGCTAAACTCTGCACATTAGGTTTTATGTTTATTGGCCAATTATTGGACATCATATTGATTGCTGCACAGGTATGAGTAAATTATATTTCACAAAAAAAAACTGGTGTCAATTCTGTTATGATTCTCAAAACTTAAAACTAAATTTAACATTGGTCTTTCCTTTCCTTATAAAGAATGACAATTACAATACGCTGTTGTCAATTTTAATTTTAGGTTCAGAGAATCACACCATAATCGGTACCATTGATTTAACCTATTCAATAAGTTTCTTTAGGATTGGTCTGTTAGAAGGGTGCTGGGTTGAAGTCAAACAGACAAAAGCACTATCATTTATAACATAGGATTTCTTTGTATTTTAGTAGTGAAAGTTTCACCAGGGAAAAATTCTTAGTCCATGCAGACGGCCTAGGAAATGATGACAAAGCTAGTATTCAGTCTGAATTATAAACAAGGATATTTCATTGTCAGTTTTCATTTGTAGATATTTTTCATTATGTAATTATCCTTACTAATATTATAAATGCGAGTGATTTTTTTATTTATTATGCTTTCTCTTCTGAACCACAGAACAGATTTGAATAAAATTTAGTACACATAGTCTTGAGCGGAAACCTGCGGAGGGCTTCACCCTTTCAGCTTTCAGGGGCCCATAATTATAGTAAATAAGAATAAAAAATTGCATAAGATTGTTCAAATATGGTTAAAAAAAGGCTTTTTATTTTATTACACATATAGTCCATGACTTTGTCCATGATCATAATGGTCACTGATGGATTTTCAAAGAACTGAAGTTAACGTGGACTAAGTCGCAGGTGGCCACTAATACCTTTGTAATTGATTGTTATAATCATAATTATTTCTAAGTGAAAATATCATTTATAGTTTGCATTTATAATTATAATATCTTTTTTCTTTAAGGTGGTTGGGCCATCAGATGGTTCAGCTTATATTGTTCCTTATTATGGTGCAGTTGTTGCTGTTGTAAGAAGCGATAATGAAACATATTTACTACCACAAGCAGACTGGCACAACATCACTTGACAGTGGGGCACAATTTCCTTTGAAGTGGACGATGATTATGAATGGACATAATTGTGATTATGTTTACCACCAAAATGAACTGTGTTCCATAGACCTGTTGTGTAAAAAATATGTTTATTATGTTTTTCATAGAACTTTGTATAGTTTAATTAGATGATAAGTGTAAACACACACTAGTATAGTTAACCAGGTGATAAAAGGCTGAAAATATTGCAATTGTATTAAAGTTACATTTTGTTTTCTTTGCAATTCCTATACAAGTAGTTGAGGGAAATTGCTGGCTTCCCATTTATGGTAAAAATAAAAATATCTGGCGATAGAGCATGTTAAGATAAATATACATAATACTTACTGTTTCAGGAGTAGCCAATATGATTAATAAACAAAGGTCCCACATATTTTACATTTTATGATGATATAGTATAATATGCAGTATTTGTTTATTTTCTCAAGAGAATTGATAACTTAGTGACTCCTTCTTTAAATTAGTGTGGCCTTAGCATTGGCAGGTATATTTGTTTTCATTGCAATTTGTAACTATCCATTGGACTGACTGGTCACACATGTCATATTTATTATAAAAAATATGTATAATTATGGTATTATTTGCATAAATATTACACAATTTTAATTGTAAAAAAAATAGTTTAAGTGAAACTTTAACAATCAACATAAGGATAGTAAAATACATGGCTTCTGTCTATAAATTTTGTTTTAATAAATAATTTCCTTTCCCATTAGCTCTCATCTAAAAATGAGGTTAGGTGCCTTCTTTGTTAGCTTCTTCAGTTGTTGCTGGTTGGGTTTCCTGAATAGCAATATCAGATGGTGGTGCAGTAAGTGTGAATATTACAGGTATTTCTGACAACAGAGGATTGTCATATTTTTCTAACAACCTTATCCATGATAGAAGGGAATCCCTTGATGAGGTACCTGTAACATTGAAAAAAAAAACCAAATATTTAAAATTATGTTTGACCTCCAAATTCTCTTTTAGTTTTTTAAATAATATATAGTATACCTGTAGCACACACTGACACAATTGTGCCATCATCTTGTTCATGTACTGTACATTTTACTGAGGGTAATTTTGTGCTTCCTATGAAACCAGGTATTCCGGTGGGTTTTGAAATATTAGAAACATCTGAAAAACAAACACTTTAAAATAAACACTGAGATAAGTTGTTTATATAAAATGTGTTTTATACCTAATTATTTTTTTATATGTATATTGAATATAGGTAAACACAAGGAATAGAATAAAAACAAGTGGTTGCAGTAGGTCTTACCATCAATATCTCTATCATCCGTAGGTTCAGGTCTAGTTTTACCAATAAGAGTAAAATAAGTGACTACTTGGTCTCTCATATAAACATTGTAAGGCCCTTTGACAACGAGCGGCTCATCCAAGGGCTGTTCAGCAAGTAGGACTTTCTGTGCTCTGCTCTGTGCGCTCACTATCCATGTTTTATCTATTGATGCAGTAATTTCTTCTGTCTGGCAAAATTAAAGTTATTGAAAACAGATTTGAAACCAAATATAAATTTGTAAAATTGTTTTTGGATTTTACTGCTAAAGATTATATGAATAATTATGAACTAGGATTTTGTTTGAAAATTTTTATTATTAAGAGACAACTTCACCTGCCAAATATCTAATATGATGTCAGGGTCAACCGAGGTTATTCTTTGAATAGCCATTTTAGCCAATTCTAAAGTGTCATCTGGTAACTTATCAGGTAATAACCAGGGACTCAGATATTTGAATTTGGGCATCCAGTACATCATTCTCCAAAATTTTCTAACAGGAATACCTCTGCGTCCAAATATATTCAACAACATTTGTTCCATTTCGGAATCCGGCATCACCGCTACAAAAAAAAAATAGATAAAACACATTCTAATTCTACAGAATTTATTACACAGCTACTTAACACAGATTAAAATACCATTATCTTCCATCTGTTCTAATAAGTCAACTGCACATTGTTGTTGCTTAGGGTAATGCATGAATTCTGCTTGAAATATATTTGTAGGAATAAATCTTCCTTTTGGCAAGACGTCTACTAGTGCCTTGTAAGCTTCCAGATCTTTGTGTACACCGAATTCTTTCATGCGAGCAAGAGCAGCGTATATAAATTCAACATGACCTCTTCTTCTTTTATCCTGGGATTCAAATATTTTGATAGCTTCCAGATACGCTTCTTTGTTTTTTTGTGGTTTATTTCGAAACGGATCATATACTGATACACTTTTTTTATTACTTTCGAAACGTTTTATTATACTATTTGAAGGTTTAACTGTTAAAAAGGTTCTTAGAATTCTAGCTGCCATTTTAGGTTATTTTTCAAAAAGCAGATTAGAACACTACTTGAACCTAAGAAACAATAGCAGTAAGTTTTAGTACTTTAAGCCCTTAATAAGTTCTTTGCTAATTATTGTTTATTAAATAAAAATGTACAGAAAGCGGCTATGATGCTCAACTCAAGATCACCCATGATGACATTTGACAGTGGTGTCGATTCTAGCATGATTCTCTAAACCTAAACTTAAATTTGACAGCAGTATATCCTTGTCATTCTCTATACAGAATGAAAAGGAGAGACTGATGTTAAATTTAGTTTTAAGTTTAGAGAATCACGCCAGAATTGGCACCAGTGACAGTTGTGACCAGTGTTGCCAGTTGCTGGAAAAACAATTTTAAGTCTTTATACATTACAATATACATATTTTTAGTCTAACCATATTTCAAGATATAATTTGGTTGCATAACAATAAGCCGATTTTGGGAGTGGCCTAGTGTACGCTACCTTGATCGTCACACCATAAGCCAAAATAAAAAAAATGGATGCGTGTAACTTATGTACGCGCGTGAGAAGTTATACTTCTTTAGCATCATTAAAAATATTTTTTAATTGCATGCAAATAATTAATAATTACAATAAAATAATATAAGGACTGGAAAAGGATAGTTAACACAGTCAATTAAGTTCAGTTTTAATTTGAAAAATTAAATAAATATTCAAAATATTCAATTAAAATCACTACTGAATTTAAGTTATTAGTCCATATGTAATTAGCACTTGTAAGTAACTAAAACACGTTGTGTCTATATAGAAACTAGAAACATGTGGATAAATATTATAAATATGAAAACAGTGATCAGAGGCGACGAGCATGCCAACATTGTTTTTGACAACGCGATCATCTTATGGAGCTCCGTGGTTCGTTCAAAGTACCTTTCGAACAGATGTCTAATAATGGTAAACCACTTAGTGGTTAATAATCCACCATTATTAGACACTAACATTCATAACGCGCCCGCGGCCAACTTCATGGTGTTACTATTGTGTTACAGTGATGCGCGCGCATCTCGAAATTTCACTCACATGATTTTTTCATAACGCGCCCGCGGCCAACTTCATGCTGTTACTTTTGGGTTACAGTGATGCGCGCGCATTTAAAAATTTCACTCTCATCATTTTTTCATAATGCGCCTAAAGAAGTATAACTTCAATAAAAAAAATATTAACCCTTAAAATAGTAATTATTTCCTAGACTAAAGAGTAAGTTTTTTTTTATTATTGCACTAATTACACAGTATTTACGCACTATTTATAAGCATAAGCAACAACCTCGAACTCGATGTGTTGTATGCTGGCATGACGGACACCGGAATCACCGTATAAGAAGGGTTGCCAATTTTCCAAATTCTGCAAGATTTTAAAATAATTAAACTTTTTCTTTGAGAAAATCACTGTCGTAATTACTGCACTAAAAATACCAAATCTGCTGAGAATATTACTAAAGTGGCAATACTGGTCGTGACAAGGACAACAGCTGACAGATAGATTGCTAACGTTCCGAATTTCAATACAGATAAACTAGACAAGATTGCAAAATAATAAAGCGTAACAGAATTCGTGTCTAAAATAATATTATTTCCTAATTCATAATATTATTCAAACGCCTTTTTCGAAATCGATCGAATTGACGAAAAATAGAATTGAATTTTCATTGTTTCGTTCAACACAGAAGTTTCATTCATTGTTTCCATGATGGTCAGGTTGGAGAGGGCATAGAGAAATGACAATAAACAGAATACATAGGGTTTATTCCGTAATATATACCAGTTTACTAGCCAGTGCTAACGACGTCATGAATCGACGCTATATTAAAAATAAAGGGAATAAAGAATATTTTTTATTCACCTCATCAATTAAAAGAAATTATTTATGTTTCGATGTCATTATTATTCTTTAAATAAAAAAGAAATAAAATTCGAATGCATCTCACGCACGTTCGGTCATATGTCATATTTGTTTTCCCGGTAAAAATATGGTAGCATTCCAGTACAATATGGCGTGGGATTCGTGACGTCATTACCACTGGCCAGTATACTGATGTATATTTCGGAATACACCCATAGTCACAGACCGACCAGTCAGTCAGTTGAATTTGATTTGAGTGGGGAGTAACACGTTTGTGTCTCAAAACTTTGTTTGCGTATTTGATTACGACCCTTGATAAAAAAACTTTCGCGGTAATATTGAAATGTAAATTGGTATAAACCTATATTATTTTCTATGTGCTGACAAACTAATTTTGTGAAAGTGCGTCCAAGATGTGTAAATTATTAATTTGTGGTTTTATTATAGTTCTTCTACTGAACATCGTTGGTAAGTAAATTAATTGTCTTTAACTACATAGGTAATGATTTCAATAGTTCAAAAAATTATTAAATATTTTTTTTAAAGAAATGTTTACAATCCATTGAATTATTTATGTTTTACATGATTTCCATGGCAAACATTTCGTTATAGGAGTAAGTAACAATTTTTAAACTCCTTAAATCTTATTCTTAATTACGTATTACGTAATTTGAAGAAGAAAAAAAAATTGAAACAATAGTGAGGTACATAACTTACTTACCTGCTAATTATAAGAAATCTAAACGAATCTTAGGCTAGCTTAATATGTATTTGTATAAAATTATAATGTCCGGGTACTTACAGCAATGCTCATTCTAAGTCTAGATAACATGTAATAGTTAGATACCGTGGTAGTGTACCAGTATACTTACTTAAATTAAAATAAAGAATAACGTGCATCTTACATACACACAATAATTTTCATGCCTTCTCTATTTAATTTATTAAAGAGTTAATTTAAATGAGTTAATGCTGTATCTTAAAATCACTGAATAATGCTTTGACCGATTTGAAAGAAAAAATAATGGAAAACCCTAGTATTTTCACTGTCGAAAATTTGAAGATGCAAATCGAGCTCAAGTTCGACTTTAATACTTAGAAATACTTAATAAGTAATTACAAAACAAAGATATTAAATTAGGTGGGTATCAGATTAGGTGATTATATCTCATATCTTATCCTACTTATATCTTTTTTTTTGTTGAATTACTATCTCAAAGTACGGTTTTACTCATATTTCACTCTAAAAAACAATTTACGTCCATCTCTCCACTACACAGGCCTTTATTATAGAACATTTCTAAGTAAGGAATCTAGTTTTAAAAGTAGTTACAAAACGAGTTTTAATTTTAGAACGGTTTTGAAACAATAAACAATAAGACTCAGCTGAGTAATTCCTAATTTCAGAAGGACATTTATGTCAAAATCTACGCTTTAGCAAAGATTTGATCCTTTTTTACATGAGTATGGTCGACACCATTCCTCCGAAGAGAAACCGTATTATAGTCCCATATAAAGTTGTAACGCGAGTTTATGAAGTTTGTCTTATTAATGCCGTTTTCTATTTTGATGGGTTATATTCGCCATTTTTGAGGTCCAGTCGGGGGGACTTAGAGTCACCTAAAAAAAACTAGTAATCCATAGTATGCATACTAAGGGACGCATCAAGGAGCTCGATAGCGCAGGTGGTTAGCGCGTTCGGCCTACGATCGTGCAGCAACTTTCGGAATGGTCGGTCATTGGATGGGTGACCAAAAACTTATCATCTCGAGCTCCTCCGTGTTTCTGGTAAGACTGGGCCCGCGTGGTGGGTCATGGCCGCATTGGGCCATGGCCCAATCCCTTTATTCCATCCATAGGGTAAGCTTGTGCCCCGGCAGTGGGGACATTAATAGGCTGGTGATGATGATGATCCTTTACTATAGGGACCATGACTAGCCTTAATGTCACAAAAAAAAACTTGTAAATATAGTACCTAATAAGCCACTACGAGATAATGGTTGCAGTAAGCCCTTGTTTTCTGTGGCAATTTCTGGGATATATGTTCATATGAAGTAGGTTGATTACAAATACATACTTTATTTCCATATTTACCTCATTGCAAGATGTTTTTTTAATTTGCCAATATTAAGAAAATACAAAGTCTTTCTTTTATTTAAGATGTGGAAGTAACTTCCACTTGATACAACCAGAATTCAAAGCACAAAAATGATCCTAACTGCAGCTTCAGATGTTTATTCTTTAAGATATCCTTTAATTTAAAAGGTCACCACAATGTAATTTTTTGCACACCTTAATCTGTTGTAATAAGAGTTATCTTTAAACGGACGTGTAGACAAATTTGATCGGAGTTCAAAACGATTTTTGATTCTAGTTCCAGCTGATTTGCTCTAAGAACGCGACCTGTAATAAGCTGAGCAATTGAGTAGTGATGTACACATAAAACAATCATTGCGTGATTCGAGTTTAAGTGCTGCTTGAGCCGCGTTCTATAATAATGTGGGCCTAATAGTCAATTTTAAACATCTAAGATTTATTTTATCAAATTGAGATATCTTCGTTATTCTAATCCCGTAATGAGCGGTTTAATCATTTGATGGTCAATTCATTCTAGCAGAGTCGAAGCGCATATAAGCGAATTCCTCGCCAACATATTCAGATTGTTATTAAACGAGAATATTTAAAACTTTGATTATACTACTATCAGATGGTATATTGATTAATTAACACTTACCAGTCCGGCAAACAATCACAAGGTAAATTTGCTTTCCATACCAATCTGTGAATGTAAATTAAGGCTAGATCTTAAAATCTTTTTGGTATTTTATAACTATACCATGCCGAAAAGTCAAAGTCACAAAAGTAAAAGGTGAGAATATAAAGTACTTATTGATAAAGTTATTTAATTTTTACAATCGTGTCCAAATGCGCTTACTTCTCAGTTGTGCACCTTACAGTTCCTCATAGATAATGTACGAGTACGCGTATCAATTCACAATAACAAATAGATCATCTTTGACGTCACCGCCTAGTTATATGATTGTTTTTAGCGGATCTCTGGCCCATTCACATCAAAGTTCTTAATTAAAAGCTGATCATATTGAAGCCTTATTTTTTTTTCTTTTTACAAACTTTAGACCTTAAAGATGGAATTATATGCTTAACAAGATTAAGCCCATATTTGAATTAAGATCTTTGGTGCAAGTGGGCAATATGTACGACTTATGTTTCAATGTTTTGGATTTTGGACCTAAATAATGATGTAGATTTTTGAGTGTAGACCACACCGGGAGCGAATTGAAGTTCGCAGCGTTCATTCATTTTACTATACATAGACCGAGCAGAGCAAATATCGAGCGATGTGCTTGGTATTTGATGATTTTGAAAACAAATCCCTTTTTTAATAATTATCAATAAAAACCAATTTCATAGTAATATTAAAATTAGTACCTTGATGAAACCTTTTAAGAGACAAGAAATATCCGTACCTTTAAGTGAATTTCCATTATGGGGAAATAGGAAAACTAAGCTTGTATGTATACATATCTAGCAAAGTACCTATTAAGAATAAATGACAATAACTCATTTCCGACACCAACTTAGACTCAACCAGAGTTAAATTGATGTATTTATAGATAATAATATACAGCCAACGTCACATCTGATGAAACAATTTTATATTTATTTGCAGTCAATGAAGTGTCGAAATTTCAATTCACGGTTGATCTTGTAACAAGCAAAATAAAGCTAAAAGTAATTCAAATAAAATTGATAGTTTTGGAAAAGACCTGTTGTTGTCAAATAAATAAATAAATATCGTCATACCGTTGACACTGCCAATCCAGCAAGCGAAATCAGAAGCTAAGTATGTATTTCAAGAAGTTACTTTAACATATATTAATTATAAGTAGTAGCTGGCTTGATAATGCCCTCAATTATTGAGGAAATTATAAAAAAAATTAACGTTTATTTTATTACGGATCTGTATTCTATATACACATGATTAAAGTCATGTGGTGAGTAAGTTGTTATTTATTTAAATACTGCAAGTTGTTATTCATTAAAATACTGCAACTCGCTGCTCTTGATAGTTTCACTTGCGCTTGTGTTGTTTTTAGATTGAGGCGTGGCATCTTTGGGCGTTGATCCAAGCGCCCACGAGTTTATCGTATCATTGACAACACAGTTACACAAAAAATATCTAGGTGACGCGTATAGCATACAGTCAGCCAGAAGAAAAAACCACGAAGACAGACTATTTACTAAACTAAACGTGTTGTTTACTTATGTGTAAACGACCTTCAGCTCAATTTGTTAACGTAAAATCCTACCTGTGTGTAACGTTACGCAGCGTCATAACACGATTTAGCAGAATACTGTAAAACAATAATGAAAAAGTTCTGTTCTGTATCTGTCGCGTATCGTTTTTAGGGTTCCGTAGTCCTGACTAGGATCCCTTATGATTTCGTCATGTCCGTCTGTCCGTCCCAGGTTTGGCTTAGAGACTATCAGCGTTAGAGAGCTGTAATTTTGTGGAAATATGTATATCGATCACACCGACAAAATGGTATTTCCCGTACATGTAACCTGGTGATGATTTTTTTTTTCATCATCTACCCCATTATGTGGGATATCGTTGAATAGGTGCTTTAAAATTACTTAGGGGTTTTAAAGATCATTTTTCGATTTAGGGGATCCTAGTGCCAAGCCTAGCTTTCAATGAACTTTTAAGGAAAACTGTAACGGTTAAGATGCATCTGTTAGTTTATGACTAATAGTCATTCAACTTTGGTTCAAGAAAACTTTTTACCTATTGAAAATTCCTTAGAAGAAAACATTAATAGTGACATAAATGAAGTTATTGTAGCGTAAAACCTGGCATTGCAACAAAATTTAAAAATAAAAAATTAAAACCACAATAAAATATCATTAGTTCCACAACGCTACCGCGAGTAACAACGGAAATTGTTTTTGAGTCGCGCTAATGTTACGTTTTTATAAAAAGTATATAATAAGCACTTGAAAAGATCGGAGGGGATGATGCGATCGCTTCAGATGAAGCTTTTAGTCAGTAAGAGTCTGACATAACCTTGCAGTCGGCTGTAGGGTGGGTATTCATGAGGATTTCACACATGCTCCCCCGCCTCGAAAGAAAAAAAAATCGGCAGTTGTCTTTCGCAGGTATTTAAAAAAAAAGTGTCCAATTGATTTTGAGTTTGAGACGCAGTTTGCCTTTGATTTAGGTATTTTAGTTGAAATACATAGATTGATATTAATTGGTTTTTCTAAATTCCGATATAGTAAATAAAGACTTGCTCAAATATATTGTGGTAACTACAGGCAACTACGGAACCCGGGTTTTTATTATTCTGTGCTAACGTATGCTTACACATGTAAGAGATTACGAATTTTTGTATCGGAAACACATTTGGAATCCGCTTAAAATGTTTCTTTTTTCAAGGATTTGTCGTAGCTGTAGAAGGAAAGGCTTTATTCCAACTTAATATATTTTCGATCAATTTTCTCGCTTAAAACGGTTTTAGACTTTTTGTCAGTAAGTAGGTAGTTAGTTGTTGCGTGAACTGTTAATACGTATGGGACTTAGAATGTAATAGTTCATAAATTAAAATCCAATGAGCGTAGTGCAACATACTTATTAATAAGAAAAAAATACCGTAAGAACGTTCTGTGGCAACGAGTAATGCCAAAATGAAACTGATATATCTAATTATAATTTTTATTTTTAAGCATATAACTGCTTGATGTTTAAATATAAAGAAAATATAACTAGAAAAAAGGGTTCGAGTCCCGTCTGCTTCCTGGTCCGCGTGGATTTTTTTTCTAGTTATATTTTCTGATATATCTAATTTTGAGTCAAATTATTTACTGTACAACATTACAGAAGGATTACCGATATTGTCACCTTTGCATATTAATGCAGTATTGTTGTAGAAAATGTTCTTTTGAACTATCTGTACTATAATAATATGATTTCATCTCAAGTGCATATTTCCAAGGGTGTATGACTCATTCCGACGGCCTATGGCATTCAATTATTGCCCTATTTGATTCAATAGCTCCGTGATGAATATCGATGATGTCCCATTTGCCGCAGTACTTATTTAACGGCAACATTACACTCGCTGGCTGTTTTCAATTAATTTCCAGCAGTGAACTGTGACTGAGGTAACTACCTACATTATGCATTTTGTCGACAAATATTAATCTTCTCAAATAAGATTATATCACATTTATATCCCAAATATTTTTAATAGACTTCCAAAAACGGATTATTTACAAGATAACTTTAATTTATTTGCTGAGCAATTGAACGTTTGCCGCACAACATGATGAAATGCATGTGAAGTGAAGTTCCAGACGAACTTCTCAACAAATAATTATCGTCCCTGAATAAGGAATAACAATATTTTGTAAAAATTTAAAGTCAAAATATCTTTATTCAAATTGGAATCATAAAATAATATATATGTATATAACTCTTTTCAATCGTCCATATATTTTCAGTACCCGTTAATTTAGTAACCTAAAATATACTAATCGATCGGTAGTTGATACAGAGCCTAGTTTCTTTTACCATTTGTCAATATGTGGGCCCCACATTAGCTTCAAATTTAGCGTAATGCCTAAGAATACTATATTGACCACAAGGTTCATATTCTTTTACCTATTCGATAGTTATTAATATGCTATGTTGAATGAGTTAAGGCTATTGTTACTTAGTTAACCAAGTACCAACTTTAACTTAGTTGATGTTGCTCTGACTTATAAAAAGTGAAAAATACAAACAAAAATAAAACCCGACTTCAAAAAACAAAACGGGAATAAGTTTTAATTTTGGTGATGCCAGCTAACGGCAACTCAGGATCTTTTATGTTTGTTGGCATGGCACGGACCCCAAATATCTATTGTAAATTTAATTAAGATTATATTAAGTATAGGTAATATAGTAAGGTAAGGTTTTTAATGTGTTTTGTGCATTTATTTTACTCAACACTTAAATTTTTAAAATAATGTACTTACTTTTTGCCTTAACCTGATAAACCGCTTTCAAGAAATCCGAGCGAATTTTAGTTTTCGTATGTAAGTATATTGTGGACAGAAGCTAAATGGCGCGAAACTTTATAGAAATAAATTAAAATAATAATATAGTATCTTCACACTAGCCCAAGTTATAATTTTGAGCCAAGTGACGAAAGAGAGTTTAATGAATATATTATACAAATGTTTGTTTTTGTTCTGTATGATATCTTCAAATTATATCTTTCGCCTGCTCAAATAGTTAAATCATCCATCATTCATGAATAATTTACTTTTCCAGGTTCTTATATTTATTATTATTTTCAAAGGACCGAGATTTCATTTTGCGTAGTCTGGACTACGTACGTACAAAGGGTTACCGTCCGTCCGGATTAGTCCGGACATGTTCGGACTTTTATGCTATAGTCCGGACTTTGTCTGAATCTTAAAATTGTCCGGATTTTTTAAATTACATTGTATATGAATAATAAAAGTACATATTGATTTAAATACCATACTATTGTAACTAAATGAGGTATGGTACCATTTTTTTCGAAATGTTAGGATTTTTAGATTTCTATACGTACGTATATGTACGCTATGTATGTATTTTAAGGGTATTTTAGATTGTGGATATGTGTAAATATAAATTTTGGAATTAGGTATGGACATTGGACACGCATATATGAATATTATTAAGTATAGTGGTTTTAAATAAGGTTACGGAAATTAAATTATTTGTGATCATCCGATAGTGTCAGATACGAATATAATATTTTCGATGGTGAAAGGGTATTATTATATTTTTAATTTAAGCATTTAACTGCTAATAAGTATGCTGGATTTTTTTCTAGTAAGAAAATTTTACTAGAAAAAAATCCAGTCTTCTCCCGCCGCCCGCGTCTTCTGCATTATGCGGATTTCGTTTTCATAGTTAAATTTTCCTCAGAATTAATCTAGATTAATCTATCTATATCTAAGAATTAATCTAGATTAATTCTGAGGAAAATTTAACTATGAAAACGAAATCCGCATCCGCATCTCCCGCTATCCGGGCTGAAGATATTGCAGAAGACGCGGGCGGCGGGAGAAGACTGGATTTTTTTCTAGTAAAATTTTCTCACTAGAAAAAAATCCAGCATACTTATTAGCAGTTAAATGCTTAAATTAAAAATATAATAATCAAATATAGTGACTGATACCAACCCCGGTATTTTTTTTAATTTGGGTCGGGTATTCGATATTTCGAGGAGCTCGATGGCGCAAGTGGTTAGCGCGTTCGGCTGCGATCGTTGAAGTTAAGCAACTTTCGCAGTGGTCGGTCATTGGATGGGTGACCAAAAATTTACTATCTCGAGCTCCTCCGTGCTTCGAAAGGCAGATTAAGCCGTTTGTACCGTCTGCATCTGCAGTCGTTAGCACCCACCAATCCGCACTGGGCCCGCGTGGTGGATCATGGCCCAATCTCGCTATTCCATCTATAACATTTTTTTATGAGATGTAATGCACTTTTTTGTTAATCGTTTGCCAAAAATCTAGAATTTATATTATCCTCATTTTTTTTGCACATGGCCCAATCTTCCTATTCCATCCATAGGGAAGGCCTGTGCCCCAGCAGTGGGGACATTAATAGGCTGATGATGATGATGATTCGATATTTAATGGCTATGGTTACAGAGGTCCTTATATCACAAATATGACAACTACCTACCTGTTCTGTACCGTTTCACATTAGTTACTTAATTAATCATTTCGTACAGAACGTACAATTGAACTATTGAATCACGCACATGCGTTATTAATTTAGACGCATTGCTAATTGAATTATGAATACTACATGATGTCCGTGTCAAAATATCACTGCGGAACTGGAATATTGCTGCAATAATAGAAATATAATTTGAACAGTAATAGACTGTATTTTGGATATCTCAGCCTATATACTCGTAACTTTAAAGTAAGTTTTATTATAATCAATAATCAAAATCATTTATTCAGTTTAGGCTGTTACAAGCACATATGAATGTCTAGAAGCTACGCCATCGGTTCGTAAATCTACGGCGGGAGACCTTGTACTGAGAAGAACCGGCAAGAAACTCAGCAAGGACTGTTTTTTTTCTCCCTGTTTTATCATTTACAGAGTCGTCAGATTGAAAAATGACTTCAGAGATGATTCATGAAGTCACCCTTCATTACATAATGTGAAATTATACATTAATTGTACACCTGCATTTTGATTGCTGTGTCACACAGTATAAATACAAACAGAGTTATTTATAATAGGTGTAATTAAACATTTACATCTTAAATATCAAATTAGTTATTGCAGACTCATCTCCGCTGGCAGCACCCGTTCACGAGCATGACGCATGAACCAGCCATCGCTTCGCTCAACCATATTTTAGGGAACGTAACGACCCGCCTCACACGACATTATTCTGGATACATATACATGTATCCAGAAATGTATATGTTATTGTTATATATGTATATTTTATTTAAACACACATCGATATATATAACAATTATAGCGGCAATAGAAATACATTCTGTGGAAACTATTGTAAGTAGGTTCGGCTGATAGGTACCTACTTACAGCCCGCTGACAGACGGACGGACGGACCGGAGAAGTTAGTATTAGGGTTCCGTTTTCACCTATTGCGTAGGTAGATAACAAAATAATAATAAAGGTAGAAATAAGCGAAAGCTGATCCGTTGATAATTGAAAATTCACACGGTCTTAGTTTAGGAACGGGTTATTCAAATGAAGTCTGAATTATTTTCATGTTTTGTATTAGTTTTTCTCTTACAAATCTATCTATTAAATGTCAGATAACTGCTTTTTTTTACTGTTTTTTATCTTTTAGATATACTATCGAGCTTAAAAGTCATAAAGATAAATTCATAGTAATGCGTAGTTACGAAACATAAAGTATTTAAAATTAAAAAGAAAATATTAAATTTAATAATATATATTTTACCAATTAGCTAACTAGCCCTTTTCCAATAACTTGTTAGATTACGTAACAAACATTGTTTGTTAATCCCAAGGTACGAGTGTAAATAAGTTTATATGTAATTCATTAATGGAAAGATCCCAATTAGCCTAAATACCTATATCTACATTAAAATATTCAAGATACCCGCTATAATAATAACAGCACGCGATATAACTTACATTATTTCCTATAACATAGTAAAATTCCATTTGCGTTAAATCTAATTCATCATCGTAGCTACATCAGATACGCTAACGCGAAAATCTTATCTAGAGATCAATCATATTTCGCAAATCTATCTATCTACCTACATTCGCGGCGTCTCTTCATATTGAAGGACGTAGATTAAATAAACATACCATACAAATATTAAATTGTATGAGGAGCTTGAGGAGAGAAGAAGACGATGAGGGGAAAACTATTTGCAAAGCATAATTAACCCATAAACTATAATAGGGTTGTTTGGTATTCATATGGGCAAACAAAATTAATTAGGACCTGGTAAGTCTTTGTCGTTAGCACCCAATCAACACTTGGATCATGTGTAGGTCTGGGGTAAGGTTGCCAGATCGTCGGGAATCGTTTTGATTCTCCCGAAATTTTATGTAAACTCCAGACTCCCGAGAAATAATGATATCTCCCGACAAACGAAATTGATCAACTTTTCGTGTACCTTGTGCAATATTATTTGAAAATAGTACAAGTTTGGGGTTCATGCGCTGTGGAGGACGGACGGAGGAGTAATGGGGTGTCTCCCAACAACAATCCCAAAATCCCGACATTTTAAAATGCAACGGCACAAGTGATACTTGAGTATACAAGTGTATAGGCTATGACCGCTTCCTATATGGAGGGTTTTGCCACCCTTTTTACATAAAAAAAAAGGCATATAATTACTACCCTAGCATTGGAAATTTGAGGAAGCCGATGATATATTATTTAAAAATTAAGTTTTTATAAGAAATATACCAAAATGTTTATATCCCCAAGCAATTTGTTCGCTTCCTCTTTGAATGATGTGTTTCTATTAGATCATAAATTGCGTCGCACAGAATTTCCTCGATGAGATATAACCTAATTTTACTTTCCTACGAGTTTTGTTAAGAGACATCAGCTAATGCATCAGCGTATTTCCTCCATGGAGGGTAATAGCCCAATATCCCCCCGGGTGCTCTACCGTGCATATTATAATAGCCGTTATTTTATTTCATCAAAAGCGAAATTGAATTGGCACCTAACGTAATAAGAATGACGCTATGTTCGAAAATAAGTTGGCGCATTAAGGCATTTTGCTTAAGTACTTACAGCTAAAGTTATTTACAATTCTTATGCTGTGGTGTGTTTTTTTAATTTTTTATCATTTAACTGCTACTTTGCTTAATCTTAAGAAAATGTAACTCGATAAGCTATTGCCTGTTTTTTTTATAATGATTTTTTCTTTTATTTATAAATTTTAATGTCGCTGGCAATCGCTTTGATCTTTTTATAACAAATCTAATTTAATTTACGTGAATTTTTGAAATGTTCTCGCACTTTATTTACATACTTCAGAGAGAATCGGCGAAATATTTTTTCTACTATTTTTTTATTAGAAGATATCATTATCTAAACACATTTTACCACATAAATATCTCGAAGTTAATTGATAGAGTTACGATCCGGTATATAACACTGCGTTCGCTTGTTTAACGAAAACAAAAGATTTATAGCCAATATCCGAATAGATGTTACAGCGAAGACGTCCCGAAAAATGGGCGAGATGTCGTCAGTAACGACTCCTTGGAAGCGGATCTCGGAGGATTTAAGGGATACATAAAGCAACGAATGATCGCGAAGCAAATCGCCCATTTCACTGATGCCGCGTGTTGTCAACTTTGCAATTTTTCAGAAGAGCTGAAAATCTGATGAACGGCTTTTCAATATTAGGTTACGTTTTCGTCGTTTGAGCTCCAGCAAGGTTTTTTGTAACTATAAAAATATCCAAGGTTAGCCACCCCAGATAAGAATGTACATTAAAACGTTTTAATGTTTCGATACCCCCAAGGTATCAATACCTATTCATATGAGTAGTACTCAAATCTTTATTCGATACTATTCGTATGAGTAAACCTGAAGTATCGATACTTACTCATATCGATACTTTAAATAGTTATATTTTTAACTTGTTATATATAGGAAAGTTAGTATTTTATATTATTTGATGGGATTTCATTTGTTTTTATTCGTATTCTGATATTTAATGATAAAAGAGATGGTTCAAAAGTGGTAGTCGGTTTCCGGCAGCAACGTAACATACATTTGAAAGCATGTTTTATATTATAAAATAAACAGATACTTTTAATTTTTTATTCATCTTCAATTCATTTTAGATTGTGTTTAAAAATTTAACAATTTTGTAAGGATGCTGACCAGGCTTTATGACAGGCTGTCATAAGTAACGTCATATTTTTCGTGTGTGGCAGCTTATAACGTCAACTTAATCACATTATCACTATGGCAAATGTCAATAATTACAGTCATGCATAATATTCGTGAAATCGTGGTAAACCAACTAATGATTGATTCTTCTTGAAATAAATACCCAAAAATACCTAATGGAAGATGAACAGAATGATAAGTCACTGCTTTAGTAACCTTTTGAATAAAATCTATTTGATGTTTTGGGAACAGTAAATAGATATCTAAATAAATAAATAAATATTATAAAATTTATTTTTTAAAAAACGGGGATATAATAAATTCTAGTTTTTTTGCCAAAGGAATAACATCAAAGTGCACTACATCTCAAAAAAATTGGAGTCTGCCGGAGACAGACTAGCACCCTCAGCCTAGTAATGACCCCGCAGCTGGGTTATAGGTCTTCCTTATTGATGATAGGGAGATTGGGCCATGATCTACCTCGCGGGCCCAGTGCGGATTTTTGGGTGCTAACAACTGTAGATGCAG